TATTTCTAAAGAAAAGCCTCTTATCAATGTATTGATTACATGAATGAATGGTATCTAAGTTGTCCTTTCACCTTTCATTTTTAGGATAGTTTGCTCTTTTTATTCATCTGTCAATATCACCCTGTTAGGAAAACAATAAATAAGACCCTAAAATTGTTGCTAGCATGATCGTGTTCCTCATTTTTTTAACCCTGAAAGAATCTGTCAACTTAGACTTAGCCATAACATGGAAGGGGCTCGAGAAAATAGGTGAAAATAGGTGTAGGTTTGATTTCTATATTATAATAATATCCATTGAAAGAATGATACCAAATGGAGTAAAAATTAGTTTCGATAAGATTTTACCGCATAAACGTTGTGTTGTTTGTAATCAACTTGTTCCCACTCTTTATATTTTCTGTTTATTATAGTAACAATTTCCATAAACATGGCATCGATTTTTGCCATAGCAAAACTAATGCTTTCTCTAACACGAGAAAATTAAAAAGAAAAAATATTTAAGAAATAAAGACCAAATCTCAATACTTTTTTGGTCGCAATTGGAGCTACGACGGAACGGCGATGACAAGAGTCGTCATCAAAATTTATTAAAAAAATATTGGAAAAAATTTTTAATTAAAAAAAAATCTTCGAAATTAGATTTGGGCTCAAGAGTCGTTTACGTGGAAAGAAGGTATTAGTACCTTATGAAGTCTGTTAAAACGGTTACCTTTTAATTAATTGTGCAAAATTTTACTTTAACTTTAAAAAATATTTATTTCACTTTAAAAGAAACTAATTAATATTTTTTTACTATTTTTAAATTTGTTATTATTATTATTTTTAGATTTATTTCTAATTTTTACAAATTTTTTAAGAGATTTTAATTTCATTTTTTTAAAATAAAGAAACACAATAAAAATTATTTGAATTAAAGGAATGAGTTATTTGTAAAAATATTATTCATTTTTTGTATTAAAGAAATATTATAGTAAAACAAAAACTTATCTTAACACTTTATTTTTTTATTTTCTATTTTCTATTTTCTATTTTTTAAAATAAAATAAAAATTTTATTTTTTAATCTTTATAAAAAAATGTGCTAGAAATTAATCTTCGTTTAAAACAATTTTAAAAATATTTTGAACCTGAAAAAACATTTAAAAAAAAATTGGACTTGACAGGTCAAGTTCCCGCTCTTACGTGTCTTTCATGTGTAACATAGGAATCAAAACTACACATTGTTCTTTTTCAAAAATTGTATTTTGGATAAGTTTTAAAGATTTTCTGTCTTTTTTATTTTTTTAAAAAACTTGATTTTTCTTTATTATTATTTTTAAGTAAATACACTCCTGCACAGGGTTCAAGTTAGCATACGGTTACTCAATAAACTCTTACGATCCAAACAATGTTGAAGGTGGATCCTCTACTTTATCAAAATTACTTGGCCGTTGCGTGGATTTAAAAGACTCTATTTTTTTAATAATAAAAAATTGATGTACCTTTTAATATGAGATTTTTGCACGTAAAAAAGAAACAAACAAGAGACATACAAAACAAATAAACAAATACAAGAGCAAACAAAAATGATAAAGAAATAACTCTTATTCGATTTAGGAATTAAGTTTTTTTTTAAGGTTAGGATATATAAAGAAACTAGGTTTTTAGAATTTATGAAAAGAAAGAATTTTTAAGATTTAGAAAAATTAAATTTTTATAATTTGCAAAATTGTTATGGTTGAAAAAAAATGGTTTGTTTTAGACCTTGCAAAAAATTGAATGATTTTGGGTTAGAAAACAAATATTCTTTTTAGGGTTTGCCAAAAAAAACAAAAAATTAGTTACAAAAAAAATAGTTTATTTTTAGAGTTTGCAAAAAGGTAATACTTAGATTTAGTGAAAAAAAATTAATTTTTATGGATTTAGATTTTTTATTTTTTATTTTTTTGGGTTTGACTGAGTGAGAAGTAATTTACGATTAGAAAAATTATTAGAATTTATAAAAAAAATAAAAAGAATGAAATTTTATTAAATTTTCTCCTTTTATTTATTTATTACACTTGCAAAAATGGTTAAATCATGAAGAAGAAGAGAAGAATGTATATAAAAAAATAAACAAAGAAGGAGAATCTTTAATAAATATAGGAAGGATGAGAAATAAATAAAGAAAGAGGATTTTTATTAGATAAAAAGCGAAAAAAAATTTATTAGACAAAGAGACAATGAGAAACAAACCAAAGAATAAAATGAAGAACACTTATTTGATGAAAGTTTTTCTTTTTCCTCTCATAGTTAAATCTCTCCCTCTTCGATTTGTTCTCTGTAAACGATCTCGAGACATGTTTTAGGATTTTTAGCGCTGCTAGATAGTTTTCTCTGATCTCTTGTCCTTCTTTTACTCTTTGTTTCCTAGGTTCTCTCTAGAATTCTCTCTCAAAGAGGTCTCATAAAAATAAAAAAAATGTCCACCTCCAAAAGTCTCTTCATCTGAAGACCTAAGCTTCCTATTTATAGGCATTTTTTAAAACTCTAAATCTTAATAAAGGCTCTCTTATTTTTCGATGACCAATAATTAATTTTTTTTTTATCTATTTTTCTAAAAATCTACTAACTACTTTAACCATTTCTAAATCTGATTTTACATTTAAAAATTAAAAATTTGAATTTAAATTTTAAATTAATTTTCTTAACCTCTTAAAAAAGAAATTATTATATTTAATTTTTTATTTTAAAATTTATTTTTGACAAGGATCCGGATAAAATTGAGTATTCACATTTTTTAATAATGTGAAACAACATAAAACTTGGAAGAGAGAAAAACATATTACTATGGAACTCACATAAAATGTTTTACTAAAGTATATCACAATTTATTATTTTTATATGTCAAATCTTTTTTTTTCTTTAGTTTTTTTATGTCAATAAGTTAAAAAGGTCATCTAGTTTTCATCAAAATTTTCTGTTTATATTTTTTCTTACCAAACTTATATATTCTTTCTTTTCTTTATATTCTATTTATTTTTATTCTCTTTTTTTAGCAACATTGGTTTGTCAAGTCCATTGGGTTGGGGCAGAGCAATCCATGTTAGAAAGCAAGGGACAAATAGACCCAATATATAAATCTATGAACAAGGTAGGCCCAAAAAAAGGGTACTGGGAAGACAGAAGAAGGAAAATTCATATGAATAGCAGGCCCAAGGAAACTTATCTATATTGCCATTCGCATTTATCATGTCGTTGTGGTGTGATCGGTGGTTACATAAGCTAACAATATTCTTAATAGAAATTACTTTTAAATTTTTAATAAATATCTTCAAAACATTTGATAGGATTTATTTTTGTTAAAAAGTAAAGAGTAGTTGAATCACGGATTAACTTGACCCAAAACTAGAGAGAGAGATAGAAAGCGGATAAGGTTGCTCAACTTGTTTTTATTTCTCTCTCTCTCTCTCTCTCTCTATATATATATATATATATATAACACCACCGTCCAGTTCTGGGTTTTGGATAAGGTTTGGATTAAATAATTGAGCTTCTAGAGACAGAGACAGGTCCATTTCATCTTTGATTAATTGATCTTCATTAATGAATTAATTTCAACCTTATCCGCCATGCTTAAAATTACACTTTTAAAAGATGCATTTCATTGCTGGGGAGAATAATTATTGTGTCTACGTGCATTATCATCCCACACATCAACAAATTAATTATATTTTTTAAATCTGATTTTTATCCATATATATATATTTACAAATTTTTAAATTTTATGTCAACCTTTTATTTAATTTACATAAGTAAAACAATAAATTATAATTTATTAAATATACATTAAATAAAAAACTCTAATTAAATTTTAAATTTATATTAATACAAGAAGATCTTTTATATATATATATATTATATTTGAAAAATGTTTTATTTTTTAATCTAAGAAAAAAATATTATAACAAATAATTAAGATAATAAAGTACATAGTTATTTATATATTTTTTGTAAGTGTATTTCATATCGTTGTAAAATGTAGAGTGATAAATTCTATAATTTAATTTAATCGAGTTTAATATTTTAAATAAAATATTTAAAAGATTTGAGGTGTTTCATTTATTTTTCACTAAGTCGAGTTAATCAAATTAATAAGATATGTTTAACTTAAAAACACTCTTAATGAGTTATTTTAAATTTATTTTTTCAACACAGTTACATAAAACTAAACAATTGGAATTAGAAATATATATATATATATATATATATATATAGTTGTAAATTAGAGAACACTAAACGATTACAGATAAGACAGAAAATTAGAGGGCAATGGAAGTGCCTCCCTCAATTTGGCAACAACCATGGTTGGGAATTGGGAAACTGAGATTTTGAGTTGGATTTTTTTTGCTTTTATGCCTGTACTTTTTCAATTATTCAGTAAAAAGTATTAAATATTTCTTATATTTTAAAATAATAATATATGTACTTTTTATTTAATATTTATTTTATAAAACACTAAGAAGATGATTAAAATATTGTTTAACACGTGGCTAAAACTCCAATGAAAAGTTAATCAATAATAATTTTATCAAACATTATGAATATATTAAATTATGTAATTTTAACAAAGATAACTATATATTATTTTCTATTGTATGTCTTCGAAAATATACTCTAAAAATATCATTAAAAATAATGGAAGAAAAATTGATAAATTTTTATATCTTTTAAGTAGATTTTTAGTGCCAATAAATTATCTTAAATTTTAATTATTTTTATTTAAATGGGATATATTAATTTAATAAAAAAATCTCATAATATCAAATTTTTACCGACAAAACTTAAACTCAGCATGTCATTAACATAAGCCGATTTTTTTCCAATTAATTGAACCAACGGATATTAATACTTATTAAATGTTTGTATATGTGTGTACAATTTTATCATTTAACTATAATTATTTCCATTTCAATTCTAACAGAGCTGTCTGAAAATGCAAAATAATCAATATTTAACGCATTAGAATATTATAATAGAATGAAACTCACAAAAAAGACAAAACCCAAAATCATACACTGAAAACAAAATCAAATTTCAAGAGAAGAAAACAAAAGAGAAGCAAAATTAAACAGGGTCCATGTTAAGAGAGAAGGAAGAAAAACAGTAGTCCAATCCATATTTGACGAAAGAAACCGTTTTTCTCTCCCCCTTCTTCCCCGCGTCATTCTGATCCATTCCATTTCTCCAAAAAAAAAAAATATCTCTCTTTTCCTTTTCCTTTCATTTCAATCCCAATGAATCCCAACGCCGGCGTTCCCAAGAAGCGGCAACGCACCGCTGCTACCCGCCATTATTCCTCCTCCACCATCTCCTCCGTCTCCGACATAACCCTAACCGAACTCTCTCAGAGTCTACACCACCGTCCCTCCACCTCCACCACCACCTTCCCCACCAACGATGCTTTCCATTTCAACGACGCTTCCACCGCCGATGTCGTCCTCCGTCTCTTCATCGACGCCGCTTCTCCGCTCGAAACTTCTACCTCCGTCGACTCCGTTTCCAACTCCGACCTCCACGTCTACCTTCACTCCGACATTCTCCTACGCTCCAAATACTTCTCGGCCTTATTATCCGACCGATGGATCGGCCACGTCCCCACTCATCCGCCTCCACCGGAGCACTCCCCCGACGACCCCGACCTCTTCCGCCTCAACCTCGGCGTTTCCCCCGCTTCCGGTTCGATCCAGTCGCATCTCACCGTTCTGGAGCTTCTCTACACGAACGACTTCGCCACCGCCATCGACAGCGCCTCCACCGCGCTGGATCTGCTGCCAGTGGCGCTGGAATTGCTCTTCGAGGAGTGCGTCCGTTGGTGCGTGGATTTTCTAGAAGCGGTGCCGTGGACGGAGGAGGAAGAGAAGAGAGTGGTGAGTTTGATTCCATTCCTGAGCGAGGAAGAGTCGAAAGAACTCGTGGCTAGGGTTTCGCCGGTAGGAGAAGACTCGTCTGAAGCGATGCTGCAAGGGCTGATTTCGTCGGCGATGAACAATTACCAGAACACGGCGTTCGTTAAGGCTTTTGTAGGGAAGATATTGAGGGATTTATCGTCGAGGGAAACGGCGAAGAGAGTGTTGGAGAAAGCGTTTAAGAGAAGCTTGAAGACGGTGAAGGAATCGTTGGAGGATTATTCGAGTCCTGTGTTCAGAGGGGATCACAATGAAACAGAGGCTATTCAGAGGTTGAATCTGCACAAGGCTTCGACTAATGGGAAGCATCTATTGTGGTTGGTGGAGAGGATGATTGAGTTGAAGGTTGCTGATGTAGCTGTTAAGGAATGGAGTGAGCAAGCTCCTTTCACTGCCGATTTGCAGAGGGCGTTTCGTGATGATGCGTGGAGGAACATTGTGCCTGGTCTTCCTGCTGTTATTCTTCGATGTACTTGTAAGCTCGCTAATGCTGTTAGTACTGGCTCCATTTTGGCTTCTAGACAGGTACCACCCCTTATAGCACTTCACATTGTATCTTCAATTTTCATTTTGTTTTTAGGTGCATTTCTTTTTTTGTTCTCATTGTTTTAGGTGTGTGTGTTTGTCGAACCTTTGGAAGAGTTTGTTGGAGAATTTTATTTGAATTAACTTGTCACAGAAGCTTAAGTAGGTGTTTAGTTGGAAAATGTTGTGTACAGCAAAAATGGGACAACAGAAGTTGTCTGCTTTTATTTTGGAGAGTATTTTTGAGACGTGTCTATATAAAATAGATATAAAGTAAATGAGAAATAGAGATTGTTATATGTGGTGTCAATTATAGTTATAGTTATTTGATGTTTAATGATGAATCTTGAGTTTAGTGATAGCTTACGAGTTGGATTAGAAAGTGGGAATTGGGTTCCTGAGTTGAGGAGAATCTGGGGATTGGGATGTTTTGCAATTTTGGTCTGTCCCAGGTATCAGGAATCGACTCCTGCCATCTTTCTTTTCATTTGGGTAGAAAATGCTGGCTGTATAAAGATTTTCGTGATCGGTAAAAGCCATGTTGTGAAAGCAAGGCACTAAAAGGTGTGCCTGAGGTGCTAAAGGGGTTCAGCAGCTGGTTATGGTTAAGATTTGAGTCATCTGACTTTGCTAATTGCAATTACATTGGGATAAAGATTGTTTGAATTTTAGAAATAACTAGTTGTCGAGTGCTTGGCCTTTTGGATTGGATATTGTAAATTGAGCATTTTAATCTTCATTTTTTTGTTATGAACATTATGCTTGAGCAGATAGCTTATAATGCAAAATAGTAAAATATTAACTGCTTTCTTCTTTTTCCTTTTTATTTGTTATTTTTTAAAAGGTTTTACTTGCAATAAATTTTGATGTTCCCTTTCCATTTGAGATTGATTTTAATGACGAGATTGCATACCTTTTTCCGCTGTATTCTCGATGAATTTTTGAATGATATTTTCTAATTTGATATGCTTTATTATTTAATACCTTTTTCTATTCTATTTGAACTCCTGCACATTCACCAGCCCTTATAATAGTGCATATTCATGCCTAATTTTTTGCTCTGTTCAGGTGAGAAGGAAGCTCGTAGAAGATTGGCTGCCCGTTTTGGTTGTATGCAAAGATAATGTTTCACCAATATCACCCAGCAACAAATCGTTGTACCTGGAGCTGGAAGAAACATTTTTGCGAATCATTTCAACATTGCCCATGTTGGATGCTCAAGAATTGTTGCAGCGGTGCCTCAGCTTTTCAACTCGAAATGTTGAAGATTGTCCTCACCTGGTGAGGGCATTCAACACCTGGTTTCGGCGTGCAGCTCGACCTCTGAAACCAGATTGTCTCCTTGATCAATGAGTTCTGTTCTGTTGCGCCTCGTTGGTTGGCTTATTGTCAAATATTGTGCATATGTTAATACTGTGTTCAGAAAGTTGAAGTTTAACGTTGTACATATAAAATCAAAAGTCGAAACTAACCGTCTTCTAGGACAAACCACAACCCAAATACATATAGACCTTGTCCTGAAGCCGGTGGCTGTGGGCATGGCTAATGGGTTCCTTGTAATGCAAGATTTTAGTTGCTAAGAGATATTTGGCCGTTGCATGTATTTCTTGGGTGAAATGGTGCTCATGAAATTTTATGTCATAATAAAGATAACCAGCCTTGATTTGACCCTTTGCCAACGGAGATTTTTTCCCCCTACACTTCAGTTTTAAAATTTAAAGATGGGGCAACCCATCCAAAAAAATTTCAAAACGAACATTTTTTTTTTATCATCATCACCATCATCCGTACCAGTTGTCAAAATCAGAAGTTATTGTTAATTTGTGCAGTCATTAAGCTTAACCAGAATGTTTTCATCTTTTAAGTTATTGATTCAAATAGAGCATATCTTGTTATACAAAAATATTAAAATAGCGTTTCCATTAGTAATATTCAACCTTCTTTAACTTTATTGCAAAGCAAATAAAAGAAATAATAAAAAAAAGAAATACTTGAATCAATTATTGTATTTTTACTTGGTCCTTGCATTTTCTTTTGGCAGATAGTCCTGCACCTATTTTATAGCTAAGCAAGACAATATACATTATAATGAAAGCCTAAAATTGTTTCATTAAACTATTACATATTGCAGAATTAACGCACTTCAACTAAAATTGTGCATTGGGTGAATTCAGATATGTGAACTCCCCAGTAGAATTGAGAGTTTAGCAACTCTGTTGAAGGTTTTACTTGAAGTCATTCAAGTTTGGCACAATCGGAGTTTATGTCTGGGCTAATTTTTTGGCCTTTGATTATAAACTTGATAGTTAATTTGAGAGTGTAACCAGCATGATTTTAAGCAGCTTATCACGTATAAAGAATTTAAAGGACTTAATTATGAACAATTAAATTATAAAAATGATTTACTAAAAATGAGTTTGATATGGATGGATTGTATATTATTTATAGAAAGATACAAGGTAGGCAAGGAGTTCAGTTGAGTGCAATGGAGGTTACTACTACTGATGCTATATCCAATTTTAAAAGGTGATTGAGATCAAATTCATTTCTTTGTGGCTCTACCGAAACAGTCTTTAAGATCCTTTATGGATTAACACCCTACTGGTCTTCGACCGCTAACTCATTCATGTGTTTCAGCTTCCACTAAAAATTAGTTGACAACAATAGTATTCAATTAGGAGACAAGTCTGAATGTTTGATACGCGTATAACATGCCTTTTTCATGAAGATTGGTCACTGTTTTGCGTCAACATGAAGCAGTGGGCAGAGATTCACTATATGTAAATTGGAAGGAACCCGACCAATTTGGACTAGGACGACGGAAGGTCAATGCCATGAAGCATACCTTGCACAACCAGCCAACTAGGGAGAGGAGGATAGTCAACACCACTTCTACTTACACCATTTAACCAATAAATGAAAACAAAAGACAACTGACTCCAGTAGCTAATTTCTTCCCATAAATTGTCATAAAGGAAAATGTAGAAGTTAACTTTTTTCACCATTTTTTAAGACTAGATAGTCATGCCAACTCTGGCCCAGCTGCTGTCGTGGATCCTGACTTGCTGCTCAGGGCAAGGGAGGTGAGTTGTGAAAAGCCACAGAAACTGGGACAAGTAATTTTGGGACCAGTTTCTCCTTACTTACATTATAGAACGAGTATTATTGGAAAATCCAAACAAAACTAATTCGCCCTTAAGACAAATCATGTTAATACCACCTAAACAAGTGGATCAAATAATTGAAACCTGCCAGCTTTACTTGAGATCATAACTAGTATAGAATGGCACTTAAAATAAACTATATTACATACAGCATGCAAGCCAAAAAATAAACTGCACTCTATTGGAAAAGATATTAAACCTGTTGTCTTTGGATCGAGAGGGAGATGGACAAAATCAAGGTTAGTTGGCTTTATATTAAGAGAGAGATGGACAAAAAGGGGAGAACTTGGAAGTTTCAGTAGAAGCTCCAACTAGAACAGCCGTCTTCTAAAGTGGCGAGTGGTGCCTTGGTAGGTTTTAACAAGCAAGCCAACTCCAATGCCAATTCCAAGACAAACACTAAGTCCAATACCAACACCCACCCTAACACCAGCATTAAACCATGAAAGCTCTCCATCTTCGCCCTCAGCATATGCTGTTCCTGAATATAGGCTGTTGTAATCCTCATCTTCATGTTTGTCACAGAGGTAATCCGAGGCCTGCAGATTTGGCATAGAAATATTAAGGATAGTTTATACTTTGTAGGGAAAAAAGGGGAGCTTCTACAAATCTCAATTGACTTGGTTATCAATTTCCCACATCTTGTCAAAAGAAGTAATTTCAGCACTCAATGGGTACGTGATGATAATTAGCTAAGTGCATGTGCTCAAGTGGGGGACCAAACTTCTTAAATGAAGGACCGGACATGAATGATATCCTTTTCTTGACAGCTATAGTCAAACACAACACAGAAGTGAAGAAGAAATTTATAGACCGAAGTAAAATAAAACCTTAGACACAGACCAAAGGTTATTTTCAGTTGTATCATAGTTATATTTCATTTCCTAGTCTTAGAAGTTTTGACATCCATCCCTAAAGGCACTGGTTAAGAAATTAAACTCTTTGACAAAATTTTCACTTTTGATTCTTTAAGAACATTGGTTAGCATTTTCCATCTGTTAAACCATTTCATGTTTCAAATGACAAAATGCAAGAGCATTGATGCAGTAAAAACAAAGACAACGCAGAAACATGCATAAAGTTCGCTGATGAACTCAACAAATGAAGACAATAGCAGAAGTACACCAAAAACACAATACAACTGAACATGCACTAATTACCTGCAAAACAAGTGCTGAAGAACGGTGTTTCCCATTTTCACTTGCTTCATGCTCTGGAATTGCATCCAATACCCCCTTCCTTGTATGCTTTTTCTGAGAACTAAGCTGCAAGGTCTTTGTTAAGATAATTGGAGTACCTGAGAAGGAGCCTGCAATGTAGACCTCAATTGTTGGGTGAGTTGAGTCTGGTAACAGCAATTGCTTCCCTTTGAAGAAGCTGGTGCCTGGAATTAAGTCTGACTCGCAGTTCATGCACCACTTTTGTCCATTATAACTTGATTCCCGAACAACCCCATTGCTATTACATAATTCTAAGACCCCAGAGAGCATCAGAACATCTTTATCAAACACCTCAAACTTTGCACTACCACTTATCCTTATGCTATCAGTGCTTACAAATGTTACTTCTTCTGATTTTCTATCTACCCTGTCTCTTTTGAGAAGGGTTGACACCCCATCAGAATATATACTAGTACGGACACCATTAACTTCAATAAGAGTATCAGGATCTAAAGGAACATGGTTCAGTGTAAGAAACTCAGGAGTGGAATCATCAAACTCACACTTGCACACTCTTACATAAAATACCCTTATGTCCAGCCAAGGTAATGATCCCTTTAAGGAGGGATGATAAGAGTGCCTTGCAACAGAGTATCCATTATCAGTTGATCCATTTCCATTAGCCTTATGAGAATTCTCCATTGCCAGAGTTTTTAATTCTCCTTTTCACTCAAATTCTTTCATTTCAATTGGACCAAATAACTTGTCCCAACACTAATCCACTGAAAAAACGTTAAACAGGAAGCACAGAAGCCTGCGGCAACGAAGCAAATTCAGTTCAATTAACAGAAGAAAATTTAGACATTTAGAGGACAAGGGCAACCATTTATACCATCACAAGGGGAATGGGATTCAATCTAACATAAAGAAATAATTCCAAGCCAACTAAGAGCTCATCTAGATCCGCGAATGAAAAAAAGTAAAAGAAATAATAAAAGAATAAAAAATTAAAAATTAGCAATTAAATAAAGCTCACTGCAACAATGAAACAAACCTAGTTCTATTCAAACAAGATACAGAACCCAGTAGAGGAAGACAGAGAAGACGACACCAACCCGCATTCAATCAGATAAGATAACCCTATAAGTAAGTGGATTCAGGAAGATAATAGATGGATAGGAAAAAAAGAAGAAGTATAAAGTGAATACTAAAAGAAACAGTTACCGAACCTGAAGAAATAACAGGCAGAAAGAGGATAGGAGGGCTTGTAATTGTAGGATACTAATCTAGAAACTCCTCGAATATATCAAATTTCGGTGGCTAAATCTGCAGAAAGCAGTGTCTCTCTCTATAATCTAATTCATATCCATTTTCTATTGAACAGTCAATTACACTATACCGAAGACAATCCACCAATTTGCCAAAGAAAAAAAAGAAATTTAAGTGTTTAATCATACGCACGCATTGAAACAAACAAGCAGAAATGGATCAAGCAACAGAACTAATCACCACACAATAATCGAAACGCAAATCAATCTCCTGTTGATAGATTTTGACAAAATAGGTGGCAAAACACGACACACAACCAACGTCACAGGAAACGGACAAAAGCATCACTAGCATGAACGACGCATTGATGCAAATACAACACCAAAAACGGAGACGCATTATTTAACGCCCACCCACCACCGCACTCACCACAAATATCTTATGTCTTTTACTTAGCCCCCCTCCGCCCGCCCAAGAAAAAGAAAACCCCGAATTTGATTGTTATGTGGTAATAGAGCAAACAAAAGAAAGCTTTTTGGCTCACACCCAGAATCGCTGCCACGCAGAGAGGAATCTATCTATCCGAGTTGAGAGACCAAACCAAACCAGGATTCCACATCCCACTCTTTTGTTTCATCGTCACAGGATCAATGAAAAATTATAGCAAAGTAACGTAAAAAAGCAGATTCTATAGAGAATAATCCATAAGAATAAATCATGGGTTATTCTCAGTATTGGTATTGAGAAGTTGTGGATATTGTTATTTTAATGGAAGAAGTGGGGTCTCTCTGTCTCTGATATTCTCAAGATCTTATCCACGGGAAACAGAGAGAGAGAGAGCATGCACTATGTAGTTTTAAGGTCCTCCGTCTATGAGAAATGTTGAATTGAAAAGGACGTGAAACGTGATGCGTCTCGAAGGTGCACAAGCTCTGTCCTCGCTGTAGGAAGATGGATTTCTTGCAAAGTTGGAATTACAGACACTGATTTCTTTTTTTCTTTTTTTAATTTGTTAAAGAGGAAGCCCTTCCGAATACGCTAAATTTTACAGATGTCGGATGGAGCTTTTACTGGCCATTCATAATTTAGATTTTTAAAAGAAATATGAAATAAATTTTGAGCAACCTGTCCCTCGTGAAAGAAAAATTACAATATCTCCAAAGTTCAGTAAGATCCAAATAATCTTTTAACGTCACTTCAAAATAAAGTAGTAAAGCTAGAAGGTAGCCTTTCATGAAAATAAAGTTGACAAGGTAACTTTGAATTACGTTAGCTGAATCAGTTTTCATCAGCAGATAGAAAACATGACTCAAGGAAAATATAGACTCAGATTGGTGTGTTTTTTGTGAGTATGAATTTTATTATATTTTCAAATTTTGATTTTAATGATTGTAAAATTTCATTTTTAAATCATTTTTAGTCTAAAAGAAACAAATTCATTGAAGATACAGACTCAACAGGTGTTAATAAAATTTAATTGCTGTTTAGGTTGATAGATAATTTAATTTTGAAATCATTTACCCCGCCCCAATACTTGATACAATAATTTTTAAAAAAATTATTCGATTAAATTAATTTTAAAGACTGATGTCTAATAAAATCATAAATTTAAAACTCAAGCAAATCAATAGTAAAAAATAAAAACAAGTTAAATCATTTGTGAAACAAAATACAAAAAAGTTATTCATATTTATAATAACACCTTAAGGAATAAGAGTTTAATTGATATGTTGTAAGTATATAGTTTTTTTTATTGTTTTGCCATTTTTTAATTAATTTTTCTCTCATTAATTAAAATAATATCAGTAAATATTATTTCAATGTGTTTAAATATATAATAAAAAATAATAAATACATTAAATTTTATAGCGCAATATAATTTTTTGATAAAATTTTATTATTTAGATTTTTAATATATATCATTAAATAAATATTAAAAAAATTCAATAAATAATTGCGTCAATAAAAGTGCTTTAGAGTTTCGCACGAAATCATTTCCATCGTAAACTAGTCTGACTCGTGCATTGTGGCCAATACCAAAAGCTACTAATTAGATTTTATTTTATTTTTCAAAAACAACTATTTAATTGGTTAAACGATAACCAATAGATGAAGAGGAGCCGTGCTGGACTTCCATTTATGTACGTTGGTAGTGGAGGTTACTTCAATAAGACACTAGCCCGGAAGAAACGGATGTGATATTGGTGGACTATTCGTGAAGGGTATATTTAGGAGCTAAATTTTGAAATGGAAAGAAAAGGAGAATTAAATTTTCATTTTTACTAAATACTTTTAATCTTTAAAAATATATTAATCTCTTTTTTAGAAATCTCAACTCTCAAATTGTTTACTTTGTTTTCAAACTAACAACAATCAATTCTTATTCTATTATATGAAATCAATTACATACATCATATCATATTATTGAGCTAAGATAAAAACTAGTTTAAGATATTTACCATAATATCCACTTTGCACATCTCTATTTTTTTGTCATCGTTTTTTATCTAGGTACTACTTCAATATTCACCAACATTTTTTCCAAACTAATTATTTAAATTAGTTTTTACATCAGTTCTACTAAAGTTTAATCCACCCAACCTACCAAACAAAAGTAACTTAAGATTCCTTAGGCATTTAGATTTGGGTTTAATCATAGATTCATGTATGTCACCTGTTGGGGTCATCGCTAGAACTACTTATTATTGACGATAATCAGGAGTAAATGATCTCTCACCTAGCATATATATATATATATATAGTTAGGCCCCCACCACCCTCTTCATAGCTCTTGGGATAAGAACTAGGGAGACATGTGCATATGGGCAAAGTTCGACCCTTGCAATCTTAAAAATACCATTTCCCCAACCCCATTATTCCCTTCCCCCAAACCAAAAAGAAAAACTGATTAAAACATAGCACACGTACGCCTAGCGGGAGGCTTCATACTATATTACTAAAGAATTAAATTCCCCTGGAAGTGCCCCAAAATCTTGGCCAACTAGCTGATAGATATTACAAAAATGGGGAGTCTCCAAAACAAATATCAGATTTATAAAAGTTAAAGATAATTATTTCTCGACATATGGGATTGATAGAGTTTCTAGGCACTTTTCGGAAGCATAATTCAAAAAGAAAGGATGTGAAAGATGATCTCATCAAATTTTGGAATCTTTACCTTATAACACAATCTTGTGGAAATAGGAGATTTCCATTACTAAAAGAATAATATTATTTTTCAAAATAGATTGTGATGCTCCAAGTTATGATGGGAATCCAAATCACGTGACAGCCATAGGAAATAGACCAGAAGTAAGATGTGAACCAACATTAACTCTAATGCAACCCAATTAGGATTTGATATGATTGGATCCTTTAGTCTTTGTCACCGAGGAACTGCAAAGTCTAGGACAAAACGAAAAATATGGATTACAATCGGCAGGAGGAAGTAAAATTGTAGGGAATTAAGTTTCAAGGAATTTTCATTTTTCTCCCAGTAGACGTGAAGCAGAAGTAGTTTCAGCAAGAGAAAAAGTCAGGAGGGCAATATCTAACATTCTAACTCAAGGGGAAAATGACCACAATCCATTATGTCCTCGCTCCTCAGTGAAAAACTCAAAAGCACAATCCATGGCACATGTTGACATCTTTGACTTTAAAATTTAAATTTATTTTAATATTACAGCTATAATGAGATCACAACAGATTTTATCACATTATCAGCCCTGGATCAATCACATGACAATTTTATTCTCAAATTAGTTTCACTTCTCATTGTGGGCAAAATCTATGGTTAAATACAGTGCCATTATTGATTATACCATTGGAGTACCATGTATAAAAAGCAGAAAAGGTGAACAGAAAATGACAATTTAAATAGGAACAAACATAATATATAAGTAAATACACTCTTGATCCCTAAAAGACACACCTGAAGTATCATTTTAATATCCTTAAAGAAGCTTGCTTGCATCTTATTGTTATTCGATACAAATCCATTCAAGATTTTGGGGGTAGTGTAATTTGTCAGCACATTGGACATGTATTGTCAGGCAATCAGGAAATTCAATTATACAAGTCTGCACTTGGTGGGAATCACAAAACAATGGACCAAATTTAAATGTTTGAATGCAATTCCGATCCTAGGATATGACAGAAAAAAGAACCTACGATTCTCTCTTTTTCATTTTTTCTTTCATCTTGAATGGATCCAGCAGGCTTGTCACAATGTTTTTTCAAGTCCTATATAACAAAGTAAAAGAAGTTGTTAGGATGTGCTGATGTGCATAAAGAAAACAAAGGTAACTACCACACTGGGCACCCATCTGATAGTGATACTACCACTAAGGAGGTATTTGGTATGTGATTCAAATGCTACCCCTCCCTTCCATCAAAGTTAAATCGAGTTCATATCTATGGACCTGGAACTAGTTTCGTGGAGAGAGACTAATTCTAATCGAACCTGTATAATGGATTCTAACTATCCATTATATTTTCTCTTATATCATTTTATTGTAGGAGCAAGGAATATTGGAGTGGAACATGTTTATAAATGCTAAAGAAGCAATTACTGGGAAAGAGGGAAAACATGAATAAATAATCAGAAGAGCAGAACGGTGACAAACTTTAGTTTTGGCCTCTTTATTTTAATGCTACCATATCCTTCACATTGTTATGTCTACTTCATGGAGCCCACACTCATCTAAATTATTTAATGCCAATGCCTATCGCACTAAGTCCAACACTTAAGTCTCACAAACAGTTCAGCCATCTGAAAACAAGAGGTTAATTACGATCACACACTTTAAGGACACAAGAAAACATAGCTTGGGTAACTAAACAATAGGGATAAACACAACAACCATCATAGAAAGAGTTTTTAACAGATTTTAACCTGATCATGACAATAACAGAAGAAAATTTCATTGAGGTCAGAAAATTTGTACTAAATGATTGTAATAGTTATCTTCTCTCAGGCAAACATTTAAAAGCCCATAAGCCTCATGTATCAAACAATAAATATGACACCAATATTGATCTTGTACTCCGTACGTTGAGAATTACTTTTTACATACTAAATAAGGAGGATAAAAATTTATTGACATATTCATTCCACGGAACTAGAAATCGCCATTTCTGACAAGAGAGGTGAGAATGGGGATTCCAAGTCCATGCAATGCAATTTAATTTCTTTGTTAGTGACATATTCATTTATTCATCAGAATTACAATCACTACTTTCAACAAATTTCCCTTCCGTAAATTCTGATTACATTTTGAGCCTCCCCTTGGCGCATAAAATTAACTTTAAATATCTATGTAACATTTAAAGAACAACACTTACGTAAACATGCGAAAAATTAAAATATATAACAGCCGTAGAACATAATTATCATCCAAAGAACCACCGTTAGTTACGAGCATTACGCAAAAACAGGCAAATCCACACACATCATATCATAATTGATGCAGTTTAAGAAGCAAGCACGTAAATTGAGTTTCAAGAACGCGTGAAGCGTAGTTGACGAACAGAAGCAGGATAGTAGTATATATTAAGATTTTGGAAAGCAACAAGTTCAAGTTGTTTGAATGCAATGTTGGCCTCATTATACACCATGTGTTGGAGATAACAGGTATGCCCAACATTCTGTTTCTATAAATAAAATAGTGTTTATTATTTTATTATCATATTCATTATTTAATTAATATGGTAAGGTTGTTAAGTAAAATTAGAGACTTATTACTACAACATAGATTATAATAATAAGTATTCATAATTTTAAATTAAATTATTTTTTATTAAAAGATTGTTGAAGATAGAACATCATTAATAATACATCTTTTATTGGAAAAAGATGAACTTTTCTCATTTATCAAATTACATATATAATATATAAGGATATGATCACTTAACTAACTTAGAGAAAAATTCATAATGATTAATATTATATTTAAATTATCAATATAGAGTTTTGATGAAGAAATAAAATAATTTTTTCTTTGACATGAGATTATCCCAATAATTAATAAATTATTTATTATACTTTAATTTTAGACACTTAACTTTATAAGGTATTAGGTAGGCGACCTGTGCGATGCACGGATAAATTATTATTATGTTATAGTATAATATTATAATTAATAATTATAAAATAAAAATAATTATATAAAATATTTATAATAATATTTAATTAATTTTAAAATTTAAAATAAATGAGTATATATTAATATTATTATTAATAAAATGATTTAATATATTATATAAAGATTTATAATATACTTTTAAATATTTTAAAATAATTTTAAAAGAAAAAGGATTAAATTCAAATAAAATTTAAATTTATAACATCATAGATTTAATTCTATAAAGTTTCAAAATACTGTTATAATTAATTTGTAATAATTTAAGATATATACATACATACCACAACATAAGAATTTATAATAAAAAAATAAAATATAATATATTTAAAATATTTTAAGACAAAAATTATTGAAGGAATAAAATTATATATGTTATTTTATCTTACAAAATTATATAACACATAATTTAAGGATAAATAAGCCTATTTTATGTTTATGAAAAAATTAAATTATTTTTTAGAATAAATTATGTATAAAAAATAAATATAACAGTTAAAAATAATTTATATGTGACTTTAAATATTATAAATGTTATTAATAATAATTTAATTATAAATTATTAAATATATTTATATGTTACAAAAATTTGTTTATATTGTATTTTAGTATATATTAATATTATATATTATTATTTAAATATAAATATATATAATAATAAAAATATATTATATTGAATAATATCACATAAAATTAGATTAAAAAAAAAGATAAATAAATTTTCATATGCAAATTTCTATATACTTTATATAGTTTAAAATTTTAATTAAGATTTAAATAGAAAGTAAAAGAGAAATTTTTTTTTATTGAAAACAGAAATGAATCCTTATATCAATTAAAATTATACATATTTATATAATATAAAATTTATATATCATATACAAAATATAAACAAATATTATGATAAGAATAATTTTATAATAATCCTAATTTAAACTGTGAAAGATTTCTTGTAACAGTTTTTGTACTTTTTTTTATCTTGTATAAGGATCTTTAATCCCTTTTGATTGGTAAATGTAATTTAATTTCTTTGTTAGTAACATATTCATTTATTCATCAGAATTACAATCACTACTTTCAACAAATTTCCCTTTCGTAAATTCTGATTACATTTTGAGCCTCCCCTTGGCGCATAAAATTAACTTTAAATATCTATGTAACATTTAAAGAACAACACTTATGTGAACATGCGAAAAATTAAAATATATAACAGCCGTAGAACATAATTATCATCCAAATAACCACCGTTAGTTACGAGCATTACGCAAAAAAGGCAAATCCACACACATCATATCATAATTGATGCAGTTTAAGAAGCAAGCACGTTGACGAACAGAAGCAGGATAGTAGTAGTAGTACCTCGAGAAAGCGAGCTCCAGCAGGTGGAATCGACTGCAATATTTGACGTGAGCCGAGCATTAGCGATCGCGCTGTGAAGCGGCATCAACGACTCAACGCTTCTCACAACCGCCAATACCCTTTCGAACACAAAACGCACGAGTTTAACACCAAAACGCAATGCAAATCGATAAGAACCATTGAAGTGCATGCGGTGTACCTTGAAGCACGAGGGATGCGTGTTGAGGAAGACAAAGAGAAGTGAAACGAAGTCGACGAGATCTGAACGAAGCTTCTAGAGCGATTAGCAAGAGAGCTCGAGGCCACTCTCACCGCTGATTTACAAAGCAAAGAAGCCATTGTGACAGTGCAAGTTAGCTTGAACCCTAAACAGAAAGTAAAACCCCGAAAGGCTGAAACTCATTATTGGGTTATTATTGGGCCGGCCCAAATTGGGTAAGCCCAAATTAAACGGCCTTCTAAACCTACTCTACTCTATTCTGAAATTCTAATCACGGTGTGTTTGTGACTCTTGTGTGGCGGCGCGAGAGTGTGACAATGGCGGAAGAAGCGGTTTTAGGTTACCTAGAAAACAACGAGGAGATTGGTGACTCGGGTGAATTCGCTGCTGAACTTGGCATTGACCACAACGAGATCGTGAACGTGATAAAGAGTTTGCATGGGTTCAGATACGTGGATGCGCAAGACATTAAGCGAGAGACGTGGGTTTTGACAGATGAAGGGAAGACGTATGCTAGTGTAGGATCCCCTGAAGTTCAACTCTTTTTGGCAATACCGCAAGAGGGTATCACGAAAGATGAACTTCAGGTTATTTATAGTAATATATTCTTCTATATAGTGATTTAATTTTTTGTTGTAAATTATAATTGTTGTCGTTTTGTGGTTTTAGAAAAAGCTGGATCCATCTGCCTTCAAGATAGGCTGTGCCCAGGCTGCAAAGAACAAGTGGGTGGACATGGGAAAACAATTAATTTCTAGAAAGGTGCGTTTGCTCTAGGTTGTAAAGTGTGTGTGCCTGCATTTGTTTTCGAACTTTCTTTTCCCCAATTCTGATTTTGGATTTTCAGTACATTGTTTGAGTTACATTAACGTGTAGTTGAAATAATCCTTGTTTAGTGCTTGGTCATTTGAGATAGGAATAGCTTTATGATTTACTGCATTCTTTTAACAAGCCGGTTTGTTGCTGCAGGTTCAACATGTGGATGACAAGGTCAAAGAACGGCTTCTTCAAATTCAACAGGGACAGGTGTGTGTACTAGTATGAATATTTTTGTCTAATTTTTTTTTTCATTATTTTGAGAGGAGACAATTAGAGATAGTTCTGAATTTCTCTCTTTTTCTTCCTTGGATGGGGTGGGGGTGTCATTGATGTTCTATTATTTTAGGGATAATAGGAACTTCAATGAAAATTGAGGAGGTGAAATGTTGAGATATACCTAACTATGTAAAACTGTTAATTGGGTAGACAACAAGGTAATCTCATTACATGATATCAACCTTTTTGTAAATGGTGTGTATTGGCTGTATGAACATAGGCTAGGTCGTGGGTTTGAAATATTACTTTTGGGGGAAATGACAACATTTTATATGGAAAATCAGATTTGACACAATGTGTGACAGTTTATAGGAAGTGGGAAGGGGGGATTAGAGATTTTCCATTTCTGTTTAGCTGTGAGGTGTAGCTGCACGCATTTTGTGGATGATGGGAAAATAGTTCTTTATTTGTTTGGTAGTTGGATTTTCTTTTTGGGTTGCTTTACAATTTCTTTATCAGTATTCCTTGTGAAATTTGCATATCTAATTAGAAATTTTACCATATGTTGCAAATGCAGAGCATTGGTTCAGACGAAATCAAAGCACTCAAAGCAAGAAAGCTTATTGTTCCACAGTAATAATAATTTCACTTAGTTGTGTTAGGAGTTTTTCAGATGTATTGAATGTGCTGTAAAAGACTTAACTATTCTTTCAATATTGAACTTCTTCTTGGTATCTTATGATCTAGGACATGGAAGGGTTACTCAGTGAAGAAAGGTCCTAATTATGCTCCAAAAAGAAAGAAAGTTGTCACTGATTTAACTCGAGATAATTTTCAGAGGTATTTTTTTGCTTAAACACAATGTGAACGGGGTTAAAACCTCTGTATTCAAGTTTCTTCTTTGCATATGACCTTTTTTTGTTGATTTGCATCCTATATTATGAACTAACTTTATTGTCTTTTTTTAATGACAGTGGTGAGTGGAAGGAATTAGAGTTCAAAGAGTACAATTATAGTGCTAAAGGTCAGCCTCTTGAGGGTGGTCATCTTCATCCATTGCTGAAGGCAAGTAGATATCCCTTCTTCATCCTTTCCCTAACCCCATTGCAACAGTAAATACCCTTTGATATTTAGATTAATTGTGTACTGTGCGACTACATTCAGGAAAACATTATCAATAATGGAGTGTATTTTTTCATATTTAATTATAAGACCCCCAATTTATGTTAATTAAGGAATACACTAATCTATGTACCTTTTAATGTTTAATAGTTTCTATATGTGCACTATACTACATATACAGTCATACAGTGTATTAGAGTTTTAACTTAATTAAGGTGATGCTTTTATTCAATAGAAAAAGTTTCTATGTATGTTGTGCTTTGTTGCCAAATATTACATTACTGGTCCCTAGCGCTGATAGAAGGGGAAGATTGTATTAAGCTGTTATCTACAAACATAAACTTTTGCCAATTCTATATGATGTGGATAGACAATTTATATATGTTATTCTACAAATTTGTTTTTCTGATAGAGCACAATTACATCTTGTGATCAATGTAGATGACTTCACCTGATGTTGATGATTATGCTTTTATCCAAATAAAAAAGTTTGACAATATTTCATATGTTTAATACTTCTGGAAATTGCTCTACTTTCAGGTACGGGCTCAGCTGAAACAGATATTCCTTTGCATGGGGTGAGTCCTCTCTTTGTTATTTCAAATGCCAATGTCTTTTGTGTTAAATATTTGTTTCAGATTTAATGTTTTGCAATATTAATCTCTCATGCTGCAGGTTTGAGGAGATGCCAACAAATAATTTTGTTGAGAGCAGGTAATTGCTGTTTGCATATCAATGCCTTCCCAGTGCCTCTGACTGAGATGCTGATACTCTATCTAAAGTTGTTGTATTTTTGTTATCCTATCACACAGTAAATGACGTGAAATATATTTTCCTCAAAGAAATACAAGTGGAATGCATAAATTACAATAAACTTTAACAATGCATACAATAATAATTGAAAGAATACTGTCAATCATAAAATCTCTTACAACCCTCCCCCCCCGCCGCGGCGCCCCATATATTCAAGCAAGAGAGAAAAATAGCCTGTTTTGAAACTTGTTTCAATAGGCCTTTGAATGGAAGAGTGAATGATAGAGCTATTTTTTCTTTTATTATGATGGAGAGAAGTTCTTGGAAAGGTGCTTTCAGCAGTGATCTGAGACCTTGAAAATTTTCTTTTGTTCTAAACTTGCTAATCTCCATGATCCCTTGATTCTTGCTTATATGTGCTATTTAGATGCTATAGAGTATCTTTAAAATTATTATAATTCAACAGATTATACTCATCATGTGTGTTGCTGATGGGAATTGATAGTTACTGTTAGGAGATGTCATGTGTTATTAAATATAAGTGCAATATTAATTGTCATGTTGGCTGTTCTTTAGGTTCATTTATGTAATTTTAGGAGCCGTTATTTATGTATAGTCTGATTGTAGACGGTTATTAGGTTTTGTAGGAGCAGTTATGTAATTTTCATATATGTTATGCACTGTATGAGAAGACTGTTTAGTTGTGTATTTGGAAGTTCTTCGGGCTGAGTACTTCTCTGTAGGAATTGTTAAAACTCTGGGACAGCTTCTGCCATAATTATCTATTCAATTAGTATGTTGGCTGATCTATAGGTTCATTTATGTAATTTTAGGAGCTGTTATTCTATGTATAATCTAATTGTAGACGGTTATTAGGTTTTGTAGGAGCAGTTATGTAATTTTCATATATGTTATGCACTATGTGAAAATAGACTGTTTAGGTATGTATTTGGAAGTTCTTTGGGCTGAGTATTTCTCTGTAGGAATTGTTAAAACTCTGGGACAGCTCCTGCCATAATTATCTATTCAATTAGTATGTTGGCTGATCTATAGGTTCATTTATGTAATTTTAGGAGGTGTTATTTTATGTATAATCTGATTGTAGATGGTTATTAGGTTTTGTAGGAGCAGTTATGTAATTTTCGTATATGTTATGCACTATTTGAAAATAGACTGTTTAGCTATGTATTTGGAAGTTCTTTGGGCTGAGTATTTCTCTGTAGGAATTGTTAAAACTCTGGGACAGCTTCTGCTATAATTATCTATTTAATTAGTATGTTTATTCCCAACTAGCAGTGTTCTATTAGTGGTACTCTATCACCTCAAGTCTTACATTTATGTGTCCTAATTGGCAGCTTCTGGAATTTTGATGCCTTGTTCCAGCCCCAACAACACCCAGCTAGGGATTCGCATGATACATTCTTTTTGGAAAGTATGTAAAAACCTTGATTCAGCTGATTGTTTTTTGTGCTAATCAAAACTTCTATATTTCTATTCTGAGAACAAGTGACACATATATGCAGCTCCTTCGACAACAAAGAAATTGCCAGAAGATTATGTTCAGAGGGTGAAGCAAATTCATGAATATGGTGGTTATGGGTCTAGAGGGTATGACCTTGAGCAAACTCAACACTTTTAGCACAGGCTATTTATGATTGATGGATGGACAAGTTCCAAAACATAAAACCCTTACAATTTATTCCTTGGTAGATATGTATATGACTGGAAAAGAGAAGAAGCAAATAAAAACCTCCTGCGAACCCACACAACTGCTGTTTCCTCCAGGATGCTTTACCAATTGGCACAGGTATCTCTGTCTGAATTTGCTGGTATCATGTTTTTGTGGGTGCATATGATTAAATGGTGTTTGGACTTTGGCATCATTTAAACCTGGGTAGATATATATATGACTGGTAATTCTTATTTTTCCTGACGATTTTAGATTGAAATTTCTAAGTAATGTTTATTGATTTGCTTAAGCTGTATTTGTGGGTGCATATGATTAAATGGTGTTTGGACTTTGGCACCATTTAAACCTGGGTAGATATGTATATGACTGGTAGTTCTTAGTTTTCCTGACGATTTTAGATTGAAATTTCTAAGTAATGTATATTGATTTGCTTAAGCTGTATCACACAGATAAGAAAATATATTTTCCAAGTTCTAGTTCTGAATTATTGCTTGCACCATTTTTAATTGTCCCCACACCTCATTTTAATGTGTTTGCAGAAGAAACCATTTTCTCCAAAAAAATATTTCTCTATAGATCGTGTTTTCAGAAATGAAGCTGTTGATCGAACACATCTTGCCGAATTCCACCAGATAGAAGGTCCTATACTTTGATGTCCCTATTTCACATGATTTTAAATAGGTGGGGGGAATACTCACATTTTTACTTTTCCATTCAGGCCTTGTATGTGATCGAGGACTCACTCTGTGTGACTTAATAGGAGTCCTACATGATTTCTTCTCACGTTTAGGTAATACTTTTGTTTACTTAAACTGTTAGTATGATATAAATGTAAGTTGCAGACTTCAAGGAATATTACCCTCAGCCAAGTTTATTAAGGACACACTTAAGAAGTATATTCAACCGGCTATTGATCTTAGCTAAAACGTGTAATTTTGTTATTGAGTTCAGGCATGACCAAGTTGAAGTTCAAACCAGCTTACAATCCATACACTGAACCTAGCATGGAGATTTTTAGGTGAGTCTTTCAATGATTATTCAACATGTCCTTATTTTGATATGCTGAGACATGCCATACTAACCAAACACACTTAACAGTTATCATGAAGGCTTTAAAAAATGGGTAGAGGTAGGAAACTCTGGCATGTTCAGACCTGAAATGTTGCAGCCGATGGGACTTCCCGAAGATGTACAAGTTATTGCATGGGGCCTTTCCCTTGAAAGGTAAGAAAAAATTCAGAACATTAAAATCATTACTGAGAATAAAATGAATAAATTTGTAAAATTTAAATTCATGTTATGAATTTTCTGTATAAATCTAATGAAACCATAGGGCATTGTAATGCAAGATATTGATGGACTTCTCTGGAAATTGATATTAACTTGTTATTTTACCTGGAAACAGGCCAACGATGATATTATACGGGATAGATAACATCCGGGATCTCTTTGGACCCAAGGTATTGTTAAGAGATAACTGTGAAGAGGAATCAATGCAGCAAATCTTTTACACGTGTTATCTCGATTTTGAACTGAATAACTACCTTCTGGTTATTTGGTCCTTGTAAAAAACTTGATCAATGGGTTATTGTTTTTATATTAAATGTTTTTTAAATTTACGAAGTGATATCACCCTAAGGTATTTTTCTTGTTTTTTTTTCAGGTGGATCTTGGGCTTATAAAGAAAAACCCGATATGTCGTCTTGGAATTGACTAAAATGATTCATCCTTGTCTCTTGGAATTCTTTATCATTTATAGATTTATACATTTTTTTTTATCTCAAAGATCAAACACGACCTGTAGATTAGTTCAATTTCTGTATGGGGTGTCGGGGTCGAATAGAAAGTTACGCCCTTATTTGAAGGAACATTGTAATAGTCTTTTTCTTGTGCTCTGAAAAAAATTATTGTTGGGAAAGTCAACCCCATTCCAATTTCATGTGGTTTGGAACAAAATTATTTATGATGTAGGAAAGTATCGCATTGCAATTACATAGCGTATCATTAGCTTCAGCGATGGTCTACATGCTATTTACATATCACCTACAAGGAGGAAATGCTGGCCAGTACGACTTGTAAGTGAATTGTTTTTGAACTTACCTATTGAACAAATCGGTAACAGTGGTGATTGCATCTGTTTCATTACAAGATTTTCCATAAGCAATACACTCAATCATCTCCTACGAACCTCAAAAGTTGACCAAATTATAAGCATTACTACAATAACGCAACTATTTAGCATACCTCAATCCATTTTAGTTTTCTAATAATTTGTAGGCAATCTTTATATCTCAGTGGCACTGCCTATTCGGGTATTGCATACTAATTACTCATCTATTTTGCATAGGAAAATGAGGAACTTCACTCATTCATATTATATTAAACACTAGTCTTTTTCTTACACAACTTGAAATAATCCATAATTAATAAAATAACTTAAATATAGATTAAAATTATTAAGATTTAAAGGATATTTTTACAAACTATCTTTAGGTCAGCATAACTTAGTGAAGTGCCTTCAGATTGAGGAGTGTCCCTAAAATCGGTGGTGGGACCATGGTCATCCGCAAATAATTTTACTATAGATCATGGGTTTCCATATAAAAAAAAGTGATGAAAATTGTGTCATGTAAGAGCTTTTTTGCTGGTTACGACAGAAATGTAGAGCAAGATAGATTTAAACGGCTTTCACAAATTGTTTGAGTGTTGACCTTCTGAAGAAGGGTCAAGTTTTGCGTTCTGCCAGTAGAGACAACTCGCAGCCAAGAATTTTGTTACACAATCATGTCAGATAACTCTGCTTACAAGTTTAGACACAGATTATTCAGTTGAACAGTCAAATTTTCTCCTGCTCCTGCTGGTGGAAATAATACTTTAGTCCCAACAATCAGGTAAAAAAATAAGATAAAAGCGTGTTTAGATACACAGTTTAATTAATCACTTATCTAATAATTTTTTTAATATGATGGCTGATTTCATAACTTTAACCATAGAATTTATTAAGATAAACGGAAACTTATTTTAATAAACTATACTAAAAAAATTGTTGAAATAAGTTTAAAAAATTTATAAAAATTGTAAGTTAATTCTATAAGTTGTCCAAAAACTCTTCTAAACAAAATAAAGAAAGAACATGTAACAAAAGTTATCACAATAAGTAGAACGTGTACATATTGTAGTGTATGAACATATACCTCAAAGTCAAACCATCCTAGAAAATAATTGCAAGGAGTACACAAATCACGTCTCCACAACGCAAACATGATCCGCACTCCAAAGTGTTAAGTTTAGTTGTCTCACTCTGCAGCAATTCTGCTTTTACCAGTGAGGCAGCACTTGACATTTTTGCAGGCTTTTTTGTTTACTATGACACAGGAGCTTCGCTTCCTCCACCAATTCATTAAGATGTTTCAGCACTGTGCTGGCTGTTTGTTATAAAGTCATTTCGCACTGCAACCTTTCTCGCCGGACTTGATCTAGTGAGAAAAGTCTTAGTTGCTGTTGTTTGCGTCTCGCGTAGTAATATCCCTAGTAACAACAGAATGATGCTGAGTAGTATCCTCATTCATGACAGCAGATTCAAATCTTTGGCGCTTTTTAATTATGGACTTGACCATTTTGTTGAATTCTTCATTAGAGCTAGCCAACATGTATCTCAGCTTAACATTAATCTGGTTCTCCACTAGAACCTTGTGTCTTGGGATAATTCGACCATCAAGAGAATAGCTGAAAAACCTGATAACAGTGAGGCCATGAATAATTGAGGACAACCAAGCAATGGGATAAGAAAACAGCAAGAATCAAACAACTATGATCAAATTATCATTCCATGATACCTTGGAAACTCAATGATATCTTCCAAAGGCCGGACCATGGTTTTTCGCAAATAACTATATTTGGGACGAAGAACATCTATATTATATCTGAGAAGCATCGGAAAATCAGCAATCATCTCCCCCAATTGCTTAAGACGTATGCCAAGAGACAAAAAATATTTTACATTTACTTCAAGCTTATGTACTATGTGGCACCCCAAGAGCTCAGGTCCAAGAGCTATGACCTTGCCAATGTCTTTCTCACTGACTCCAGCTTTGGTCATTAAGAATATAACCTATACAATATTCAAATTTCAGTGGATGAGTCAATTGATGCCTTTAGATGAGCCAGTTTATTGACATATAATTATTGTGAATAACTTATTATGTCTATGCACCAATTACTCCAACATGAAGGACTAGTTGAACTTGATGCACAAATTACAATTCCTAATTCATGATTTCTGGATCTGGTTTTATGCACATGAAGGCATGAGATTGGTTACAGATAATTATAATTTTATAACTGCATAAGAATACATTCAAATTGATAGAGCGGCCCCAATCATCTTATCTGGTGTTCCTGAACAAAATATGGTTCAAATATTAAAAACAACTTCTTTTTTTCTTTTTCTTTTTCAAATATTGAAAAAAAGGACTATTGTAGAAGTGAGGCATTGGAAAAAATAACTTCATGGTGGCAACTTCCATAGTTGCAGAAGATAAGGACAAACCACAGGTCTAATCTTCTTGTGCAGGCTGTAAGTAAGTAGAGTAGGAAACTTCACAAGCATGTTGCCAATTGCATCATTTCGAACCCCAATGTCCTGTAAAAACTTTACCTTCATAATAAAATGGGTAACTATTGTCAGTACTAACATCAGGAAACAAGAGAGAAATCATTGGAAATTTTATTTCTGAATCTACTACACTTTTATAAAAAGAATAATTAACATCCAGATCTCATGAGCTGGAGGAATGAAAATATTAACAACATAATGGAACTCCTGTATGAAGTACCACTACTAAATTGTACCATCCGCCACCTTAATCTCAAGTCTTACTCAACTGATAAAAGAAAAGTTAAAATCAGAGTTCACATACCTTTGGCACAATAGTCATCTGCAAGTCAATACAAAAGACCATTGGTTTAATGGTAAGCATTCTCCTCATACCATCTCGAGTAATCCCATAATAGTACAGATACTTAACAAGAGGTTTCCATTGTTCATCAATGCTGCACGCCATCAATTGTGGCCTAAATGCGAGCAATTTGCCAACATCCTTACGTTGAAGCCCAAATTCTTTTAAGTAATTAACCTGAAAATTGCAACTGCATTATCATACCTTATGTATATATATATGGGTTTAGGTTTTAACATCAAACAATGATCAGCATGCAAATCAAAGTAAACTTTGTATCTTTAAACCTTTAGCTCCTTTTTGTTTGATTTGAATAATATTAAAACTGAATAAACCAGTAAAGTATGAGAGAAAGAGAATAAGGATATATTGCAAGATGGCTTTAGTACTTTACAGTATGTTAAAATTTAATGTACCTTTAGGTTCATTTCCTCCAAAGAATAGTAACCAAGTACTTTCGGAAAATCAAAAACCATAGTGCCAAAATCCTTCTCATTTAAACCCATATCTAGGTAGAACTGCACACGAATCTTCACTTCTTCTAAGGTGTAAGACAATAATTGAGGACATCGACTTATAACATAACCCATCCAATCCCTCCTGACTCCATTGGACTCTAAATACCGAACAATTTCATCCAGCTCTTCATGACTGCACTGCAAAATATTATCTCCAGCATTCAACATTACAACCCCGAGAAACTCGCCTTTCACATGAACCGACTTCAACCACTCAACAAAACTCCTTATGGACTCGAGTTTTCCTCTTGACATCACAATGAGCTTTGCTATCCGAGGATATGATATTGCATGATGTTTCAACCATCTGGAGAATTGAATAAAGACAATCAAATACAAGAAGTAGAAATTTAATTCCACACAGAACAACACATTACAAAAAACCAAGAAGAATGATCATCCCACCAAGCACACAAGTTAGTTTCCACAGGAGCAACAGAACAAACAGCTAATAAACAACTGCAAAGGGTAACAACTGGTAGCATACCTGATAAGTGGCACAACTTGAGAATCATCAATAACCGTTTTGGCACGTAAATTAAAGGTGGAGCTGGAATATTGAGGCAATCTTTTCAGGTTAGCAGCTTCAATCATGATGTGATCAATAAAAGCAGGTATCCTGTTAACCACATTGGTAGTGTAGGTGATTCCAAACTTTCCCTTTCGCAGGGCTTCCTTGAAAACCTCCTCAGTGACCTTCCTACGAATCTCAAGAGCGCGCATTAACATCTCTTCATCCTCTTTATCGTGATTGTTAGCACTTGATTGAAACAGAGTGCGAAGAGGGGGCAGAGAAGAACCCACATCGGTGTCACTTGGGGACTGAGCATAGATGGAGCCAGGGAACTGAGGGGTCCTTTTCCTGACAAGGGAAAGTTCCAAAACCTTAACTTTTTCTTCATGGGGCATTGGGTCTTGAAGCTCACTGGGTTTGGGATTTTCAACCCCATCTTTATGGGAAATATGGTGAAGGAGAAAGGATGTGGATTTGGAATTGTGTTTGCGGAGAATGGCGTGTTGTTGTTCGTTTGGGACATTTGGGTTCTGACACTTGACAACGGTGGATGTTGTTGGGTTTTGGAGGATGACAGAAGAGCAGGGAAGGTGAAGGTTGTATTTTTGACATGAAAAGAGCATTTATTTCTTCTTCTTCTTCTTCTTCTTCTTCTCTATAATTTCTCTATTTGTTGGATCAAGGTGGAGGCTGAAGATGAAGATGGTGGTAGGAATTGGCAAATGGCAATGGATAAGAGTTAATTGTTGCCACTCTTCACTTCCGATATTTCGTTTGTAGTTACAGGTTAAGGTTACGGAAGAACACCCACTCTCGCTTGGATACATATCCAATGCCGCGTAAAATTAAGTCTCAGATATTTTTAGCCAACAAAAAATAAAAGATGGATGAACTTTCATCTCATTTTTTCCTGTAATCACCACTTTTGTACGTAATTTTGTAACTCTTTTAAATTTCATCATTAATTTTATAAAACTTTTACTTTAATTTCATTGTATTTAAATATATTTTAAATTTTTCATTAAAGTTATTTTAATATTAATACAAATTAACAAACTTATTTATATAATATTCTAAATTTCAATTTCACTTATCACACTTTAAAAAATATTGAGTGTGATTATTAAGATTTATATTTTATTTTATTTTCTTATAAATATTGTTGTATTTTCCTTTATTTCTCTTGGATATGAACTTATATTCATTGTTTAATTTTATTATGACTCAATTTGGTTAAATGCTATTAATGTATTTTTTAATATAATATTTTTGAGGCATTTATAAGTATTATTAGTTAAAAATTATTAACAATTATAAAAGTATGAGAAAGATAAATTAATTTATAAATGAGAAATAGTGAAATTTATATAATTTTTGTAATTTTCAAAAATTTTAATCAAAAGTTAAAAGTGTTTTAAAGAATGTGTTGTTAATATTTTTTTAAATTATAAATAAATTTTATAAAATTTATTAAAATTTATCTCATAACTGACACAATTAAACAAACTTTTAAAAAATTTAAATGAAAGAATTTTAAAAAAAATTATAGATGAATAAATTGTTTCTAACTTTTAACATAATTGTCATTCATATTTTTATAATAATTTTTTAAAATTTACTCGAGCTTAAATTAATTAAAACTTAATGATGTAGAAAGAAGTTTATCATATCATAGAAACTATTTTGTTAATTGTGTATTGTTATATGGATTAATGTAATAAATTTTTCAACAATTCTATAAACTAAAACAATGTATTTACTAAGTTAAGAATGAAACTTAAAAAGGATTACAAAATTAGACTAAAATAGTGATTTGTTTTAAATTTATAGCTTACTTTATTTGTAGGTTTTAATATAGTCTTAACACATTTGTGATAAACATTACCTATTTAATACCTTTAAGTAAAATATTGATTAAATACTTGGCAACTTAACTTTACAAAAGAAATTTACTTTAATTTTTAAAATTTTAAAATAACTCATTTTAATTACTTTTTATATCTTTTTAAATACTTATAACTTAAGAAATTAAAATATGCATTTACTTATGAAAAACAGTATTTTGATTTTGGAAATATTTGATTTAAATTTAAGTAAAACACATTTTAATATTAAACCTGTTGAAAACTGTTAAGAAATACAACATGATAAACAAAGAATCGTATTTACAATATATATATTTATTATCTGCAATAAATAAAAAAAGTACATAGTAATATTGCCTTTTAACATCAAGGTCCCATGGTCTAGTGGTCAGGACATTGGACTCTGAATCCAGTAACCCGAGTTCAAATCTCGGTGGGACCTTATCTTGTTTTTGCTGTTTCTTTTAATGACATGTAGAGTCGTCCACCTTTCTCACTACCCTATTTGAATTTGAATTGGATTTTTTTATAAATTCTTTTTTTGCTTATGTTTTGATGAAATGTAGATTATTTAACCTGTTTAACTGGAAAATGTTTTGTGAACATTTCAACACGTAAGAGGATATTTAAATCTTTTTTACATTTTTAAGTGTGCATACAAGACGAGTAAAGAGAAAAAAATACAAATAAATGCAAAAAAAAATAAAAATAAAATAAATAAAATGGTACAGGCATTTAAAATCATTGTTTAAATGGTAAAACCCATTTAAATTTGATGAGAGCTTTGTATAAAAACTGTAAAAATATATTCAAGTTGGTCGTTTTAAGTATATTTTATGTTTATTATCAGTTTTGAAAAAGAAAAATGGTTGTTTTGATTATGGAAAACTTTTAATTTCACACGATTATTCAAATATTGTAATTACAATACAGTATAAATAGTATAACATATTTTAGGCTGACCCTTTTTTTTTTATGATAACAACAAAAATGATATGAATCTATAAATTTGATCATTAAAATGTATATCACAATCTAGACAATGATGAAAAAAATAATTAATTATAAGTGAAAATTTTGTGTATTGTTTCTATACAAAATATTCAGTTAAAATGTTCATAATTTACTATCTCGTCCTTATTGCTCTCGGTGTTAAGGGTGACAATGAGTAGGGTATGGGTAGGGTACTACAGTACCCATTCCCATATCTGCGTTTTTTAAAAATACTCGTACCTAGCCCCATACTCGCGTGGGTATGAACATTAATCCCTGTACCCATGCTTTCTGGGTATCTGCATACCCGTCTTGTACCCATTACCCGCGCTTGTTTGAGAAAAAATATTTATAAAGAAAAATATGTTTATATAATTTTACATAAGTAGCATAATAATACAAAAATTCAATATGTAGTTGCTGAACAAGGTACAAACATAGATAAAAAATAAATATTCAAAGATCATAAATGTTAAATGTATCTTAATATAATAATTTTTTAAACTAAAATTCTTAGAAACAATAAGCAAAACTAAACACACAAGTTATTTGTCAGTGATAATCCTATATTGTGTGAGATTTGATTGATTAGTAATGTCAGAGCGATAACGAAATAGATCTGTACAATAGTTGTCCATTCATGTGTGATTACTTGGTAACCTTTTGTGACGACATTGACAACTAACTCTAATGAATAACGTTTCATAGTTGTTAAGTTTTAGTGAGACAGATATTGAGAATGAGAATAAAGTTAAAGTAGAGAAGTTCAATACTAACAACAAAAAGTTGATATATAAAATATTTTTTTTAACTTTTGAATTTGAAATTGTAAGAAAAATAATAGATTTAATTAAAATAATATAATATAATTAGTATATATATATATATATATATATATATTAATACTAGTATTTTTAACTCATATATTATACGAAAGTATTTTATAAAAAATATAAATTTTTAAAAAATTATACTTTTTTATCTGAAAAAATTTAACAAATAAAAATTAACAATACTTTTTTATATTTATATCTTTTCAAAAACTTCTTTGAATGTGAATAAATAATAAAAATAATATTATTTAGATTCAATAAATTATAGTTGTGCTTGTAATACATATGTTACATAGAAAAATATTATTTTAAATTAAAATATAAAAAATAAAATTAAAATATTATTAATAAATAATAAGTTTACGATAATAGTAGGTGATTGTAAAATTTATAATATATTTATTATTTATTATTCATTTTATGATTTAAACATCAATATGATTTTATTAACAAAAATATTTGTGTAAAAAATATTTTATGTGTGTCATATATAAATAATATTTTAAAAAAAGTCAATCTCATATTAACTATGTATTAAATTGTATTAGCTTAATTAAATGATATAAAATAGTAAATAAATTTTTCTATTAAAAATATAAACTAAAATAAATTTTTTAGTTTACTTTATTATTAAATATATTTTTATATTAATCTTATATAACTTCACATAAGTAATATAATAATATAAAAATTCAATGTATAATTGTAGAATAAAGTTCAAGCATATATATATATATATATATATATATATATATATATATGTATGCGGGTATGGGGCCGGGTAGGTACTTAGATACCCATACCTACACCCATACCCATACCCGTATAGCGGGTAAATACTTTACCCATTATAGATAAATTTTGCGGGTGTCTATCGAGTACTTTATCCGTTGCTATCCCTACTTGGTGTCTATCTACTAAATTTGTGTCCAAGACCACTAAAAAGGAAAATACAATAAGCTTTTGGAAAGCAACAAGTTCAAGTTGTTTGAATGCAATGTTGGCCCCATTATACACCATGTGTTGGAGATAACAGGTATGCCCAACATTCAGTTTCTATAAATAAAATGGTGTTTATTATTTTATTATCATATTCATTATTTAATTAATATGGTAAAGTTGTTACGTAAAATTATAGACTTATTACTATAACATAGATTATAATAATAATAAATAAGTATTCATAATTTTAATTTAAATTACTTTTTATTAAAAGATTGTTGAAGATAGAACATCATTAATGATACATCTTTTATTGGACAAAGATGAACTTTTCTCATTTTTCAAATTACATATATAATATATAAGGATATGATCACTTAACTAACTTAGAGAAAAATTCATAATGATTAATATTATATTTAAATTATCAATATAGAGTTTTGATGAAGAAATAAAATAATTTTTTCTTTGACATTAGATTATCACAATAATTAATAAATTATTTATTATACTTTAATTTTAGACACTTAACTTTATAAGGTATTAGTTGAATAGTTATTAGATATAATTAAATTATAGTATAATTAATGATTAATTGAGAATGAATCTATCAACTTTTGGTATTGAGTTTAAGCTCTACAATAAGATGAAGAAATTGGCTAAAACAATTGGATCAATGGGAAAATGAGTTTTTTAGGCTATTTACTACACATTAATTTATTGGAGTTTGACAATAATACCGCATTGTACAGTTAACTTAGAGTTATATAGATGGAGAAAATATTACGTTAATTGTTTTAGTAGTATTTAAAATTAAAAAAAATATTATTTCATGTTATCTAGGTCTTTAAGAGTATTTCTAGACGCTAACATTGATTAATAAATTAATATTATTATTTTATTATTAACTTAGTATTTAACTTGGTCACACACTAACTATTGTTTTAATATTTATAAAAGAATTATTTTTTATTTGATAACTAAATTAAAAAAATTTAATTTTATCAAATAAATATTACTTATTTTCAGTAAAAATATATAATATTTTTTACTAGCATAAACAATATAAATATAATTATTTTAAATTATTTTACCTTTTATTCTTACAAATCCTCCTATTTAATAAACAAAGTATTCAATATGTTTTACGTTTTCAATATAATAATAAATAAAT